CATGTTGGAAACCACTTTTTGAAAATCCCACAGTCCCTTTGGTCCCTGTGCTCTGTTTGGTGAATGTTTCCTGACAGTTGGCAGTTGAATTTGCCAGAACCACAACAAAGAGGGTCCTTGAATTTCCCTGGGAGTATTTCCTCAGACCTGTACCTCTCTCAGACCTCACAAAGGTGTTATTGTTGCTGGCTTGCCGGGCTCCCAGCACCTGAGGGAGATCAAAGGCATTTTTCGATGCCAACATGACCACAGTCTCGCCCTCACGACATAACATTAAAGCTGATGATTAATCCCCTTGGCCCTGAAGGTCCCTTCCCACTCCTGAGTACAAAGGGGGTTGGAGGTGGGGACTATATTTCAAGCACAATATAACTATAATAAACTCATATTTTATGGCCCTCACTCATTGCAACCAACTGCAGTTGTCCATCAAACTCTTCACGCCCAAATAGTTGCTTCATATGAGTCTTTGATATCACCTGAATGTTTACTAAGAATGCCCACCAGTTTTGAGTTCCTACCAGCGGCAGAGGCAAGGGGCTCAAGCATGGCAATGATTGTGAGGAAGGCTCAGGATTGGGCAGAGTTTCGTTCTGTTGTGCATAGGGTCCCTATAAGACAGAACCAACTCAATGGCACCTAACAACAACAACTAGCGAATAGCAGAAGCCCTGGTAGTGTAGTGGTTACGTTTTGGGCTGCTAACCTCCAGGTCAGTGGTTCGAATCTCCCAGCTGCTCTATGGGAGAAAGTTGAGGCTTTCTGATCCTATAAAGATTTACTCTCAGAAATCCTATACAGGGTCATTATGAGTTGGAACCACCTTGATGACATACAACCACCATTACCACATATATAATACATACTATCCACACAACAACCTGTGGGACTGGAATCATTGCCTCAGCTTGGTAGGTGAGACAACTGAGCTTCAGAGAAGTTAGATAATTCACCTTAGGACACAGCCAATAAGTCATCCAGATGTGGGTGACTTGAAAGTTCAGGCTCCTCTACTCTGTGTGAAAATATTATAAGCATGTACAATATACCCAGTAAGGCACTGAAGAGGTTTGGAATCAGCCAAGCTAGATTTGAGTTCTGAACTCCACCACTTATTACTTATGGGATTTTGTGAACTTCACGAGACTTTTCTGTAAAATGCATATAGTAGGAAAATTCATTATCTTCTCCATATACAAGAGGGCTGAGAAGTAGGATGTTACAAAGTGAAGGAGGCAGGCATCCACATTCATTTGGGTTTGTTGCTGCTCAGCAATCTGAGTGGACTGGGGTACAATTGTTGGAAATTCAGAATTTACAGAGACCCCTGGGAATCGGATTAGATGTGTGCCTCTGAAAACGGGACATGATATAAGAGATTTAAATCAATGCTCCCCGAGACCAACTTAACAAATATGCAGCCTAGATCACGAGAAATAAAAGCTAGTGGTCCTCCTTCAGCAACTGATGAAAGTGGCCTTAGACCTCTGTAGACATTTCTCTTCACTGAAAACTACACCTGACCATCAGGCAGCTGTGGGGGAAGAAGTATGCTGCATTAGTAAATTCATTTATTTAAAGTAGTTTCATGGAACTCTTTGCCCAGAGTCCCAGGGAAATGAATAAAAAGCAGCAATTCCTTTATTAAAACAACTTCTTTGCATTCCAGAGCAAATGTTACCCCAGGAGGAAATCTCTTCCCTGTTCCCCTCCAAGGCACAGTGGGGGTCACTATATCCTTTCTGCTTAACAACAACAGTACTAGCAATAAACAGTGTGCCCTTGTAAGGCAGATACTCTTAGAAGCACTTTACAGATATTACAGTGAAATCTGTGAAAGCCAGAACACGACAGGATTGCTGTGTTTTTTCTAATTCTTAGAAGTTTCCAGTCACTAATAGGGTTTAGTCTTATCACCTTTGTATCATTCACTTCAGTGGGAAATATTTGAGTTTTCTTTCTAAGATGGTTTCTACCTTATAAAAGGTCTGGCTTTCACTGGATTGACTACATTATTTAATCTTCATACCACCACTATGAATCAGAAAGTACAGCTGTCCACCTTTTGTAGATGAGGCATTTGAGGCTCAGAGAGCTTAAGTAACTTAGGATGGTTCTTCTACCTATAGTGTTTATAACTCCTGCCAGGCAATTTTTACCTGATGGTTTTGGTAAGAGATGGTTGGGAGAAGATGCTGATAGGGTTCTCTTATTCAGTTGGGAGTGGTTGTTGGTGTTGTTGATAAGTGGCATACAGTTGATTCTGCCTCATAGCTACCCTATATAGGGCTTCTAATAAGTGGCTGGTAGATTTGAACTAACAACCTTGTAGTTACGAGTTCAATGCTTAGCCTATGAGCACTGCATCAGGCTAATCCAGTTTGATTGTTAACAGGGTTAACTGTGATTGCAAGAACTTGGAACTCTATTGTGTCTATAAAGTAAGCCATCTTAAAAGCAGGCAAAGGGGAATCTCACTACCGTCAAAAAAGAAGAGCCAGGAATAGAGTGTGTCCCTTCACATTGAACCTCTCTAATTCAGGGACAGAAAGCTGTGACTCCAGAGAAGCCACAGAGGAGTGTCAGAGGAGTGGCAGTAACAGAAACAAGAGTCAGTGCACAAGACAGAACAGTGAGTTTCCTGGCCATAGAGTAAATAAAGCTAAGTGGCTTTAGGCAAGGGGCTCACTTGTAGAGTGGGATGCCTCCAGGTACTTAATTGATGTGCTAGGTTTGGTGACCCACAGAGTCAGAAGTGAGCCAGGTATCTTTGAGCTGAGACTGATAGAGGAGTGGAGTGCCATGTGGGCATTTATCCACAGTGCTAAAAGACCTTTGTAACATTGCTGAAGTAGGGCAGAAGCTAACGAACTGTAGCTGAGAGGCCAAGGACCAGAGAGAGGTCTGTCTGCAGGTATGGCTAAAAAGAAGCTTTCCTGACTATAAAGAACTGTGCCCCGAACATCTCCAGTATCCTGAATTGTAACCTGATAACTTCTCTAATATACTCCAGAATTGAGTGTGGTCTGAATTCTGTGTGATCACTATGGTGAATTATAGTACTCAGCTTAGATTAGAGAGTGTTATGGGAGGGACGGCTGATGTCAGATTTAGTAGAGATGGTAGAAGGCTGTAGGCATGTATGATCTCAGCCCCATAGGAATCGGCTTTGGGCTAATGCTGAATTGGGGTTAATGTGCTTGACTGCAAAGTCGCTTTGAACTACAATGCCGGTGGTTCAAGCTCACTAGCTGCTCCTCAGAAACCCTATACAGGGTCGCTATGAATCAGAACGGACTGAATGGTATTTAACAACAAAAACCTTTGTGTAGTCAGAGGAGGTCAAGGGACACTGACTCCACTCACATTTCTTACAGAAACTAACTGGACTGGCTCTACCATCTCTATTCAATGGGATGCTTGTGTGAGGAAACCTGATACATAATAGGTGCTCAGTACCATGAGTTTTTTGGCCAATGAAAATGAGATGAGCTGATACAGTAGCTGCAATACGGATTCCAACATAGCAAGGATTATGAAGCTGGGGCAGAAGTAGGGGAGGTTTCCTTCTGTTGTCCATTAGATCACCTTGAATAGGAACCAACTTGATGGCAACCAACAACAATAGGAGTCTCGAGTTCAGTCTGAATCTGTAGATTCTTCATATTATATTTTAATAGCTGTTATAATTTTGCTTATCATCAATGGGGGGTCCCATCTCATCCTTAGGTTGTAAGATTTAGTGTAGCAGCTGATACAAGAGCAGAAGCTCTATAAATGTATTTGTTGTTATTGTTGTTAAGTGCTGTCAAGTCGGTTCCAACCCATAGTGCCCCTATATAGGGTTTCTGAGGAGCAGCTGGTGAGCTTGAACCACTGACCTTGTGGTTTAAACCGACTTTATGTCCAGTGCATTAACCCACAGTGCCATGTTTCATGGTAAAAAAAGGCTCAGTAGTCCCCTAGGTGGAGCGAGGTGGCTCTGTTGGGTAAGCACTAGACTGCTAAACACAGGTTGGTGGTTTGAGCCCTCCAGTCACTCTGTGGGAGAAAAATGAAGCTTCCTTTCTGTTCCAGCAAAGATTTACAGCCGCAGAAACCCTATACAGGGTCACTGTAAGTTGGAAGAGGCACAAACAACAACAAAGTCCCTAAGGTAGATAAACAACTGCCTGTTGCTATGAGTGCTTCCAGGATTGCAATAATTCTTCTTTATACTGTATCCTGTACCAATCCCTGCTCATCTGCCCTCTCTTCACTTACTCCCACCGCCACCATAGTTAACTTCCTTCTCCTCGCCCCCCCTCCACCCCTTTCTCCCATTTGACTCGTCTGGGAAAAATCCAGGGAGTCGTCCATCTAAGTTTAACAGAGTAATGACTTTTAAATAAAAATATGGTAGAAATGGGTACTTATCGAAATGGAATGCTTTCAGACTCATGCATTTAAAGGAGATATAAATTTTAGGGCAGGCACTAAATTTTAACTGCAATCTTGGAGAAAGCCCTTCCACTAATTTACGGAGCAAAATTAACAAAGTGAAAATTGCTTATCAGTGTTCTTTTGAAGTCATGATATGCAATCTAATTCTATAGATCATCAGGACGCTCCTGGAGAGAGATGGATTTATATTGATTGAGAGAGAGCTCAGAGGCCAAGGAAAATACACCCCTTTTCAGAGAAGACTGAACTACCCATTAGGGAAAGATCATCCTGAGAGCTCTGCTTTGCCATCCTTGGATCTGATTTCACCCCTCATGGCTGGGAGTTCTGGCCAGGATGTAAGAGGCAGACCAAACCTTTCCACAGGTTTTTAAATTTTGGCGCCTGGGAAAAGATCTGGAAAATCTAAGCAAGGTTGTTGGAGAGACAAAGCACATGGAGGTAGGAAGGGAAAAGAGAGCCAGAGCTGAGGGAGGAAGAAGCCAGTAGCTCAAGGTCTCCTCCCAGGCTGCCTGTCCCCTGTGCAGTGGCCCTGCCTCTGCATCCCGCATACTCACCCCCATGTGACAGGAAGATGTTCCACAGATGACAGCCAGTCGTGATGTCATGGGCTGTCTCTCACATGCTAGACCGTGCCCCCTCACATCTGCTCCAATCACTCCTGCAAGAAAGCAAAACAAAACAGAATCCCCTTTTAAAAAAATAAAGAGGAGGAAATGAAAAACAAGTATAAAAGACTTTCTTTAATAGCCAAACAACCTTGAGAAAGAGTCCCATGAATAAGCTAGGCTCAAACAGAAACCAAAAGAACGTACTTGTTTACAATGGGAAAGCCAGGAAACCTGTTTCTGTTTCACTCTTCTCCATGTACAGCATCTAACTTTGTAATCATAATAGTAATTGTAAGTGTAATAAAGCAGCAACTACCAGTTACTTTGTGCTCACCGAACACCAGGCATTATGCTAACTATTTACATGCATAGTCCCATTTTAGATTTACCCTGTTCAGTACATAGGATTAATGCCACGGACATCTGTGGATAAACTAATGTGTGTAGAGTTTGAACGACTTGCCCAAGTCATGCCTAGTAATGAGGAGAGCTGGGTCTTAAACCCAGACTGTACCAGCATTTACATCTGATGCTCTGGGTCTTGAGAATGACTCCCTATCTCTTTGTCACAGTTGAGTGGATTGTAGTTTGCTCTTTTTGAAACACCACTGTGCTGAGGACCAATTTTCAGAACAGTGAAACTGGAATAACAGATTATATTTTTAATCTCAAAGTCAATATCATTTTTTTACTGACTGAATATTTTTGTGATCTCTAGGTCACCATTGGAGTCCTGGTGTGGTGCCGTAGGTACCACAAGGTTGGTGGTTCAAACTCATCAGCTGCTCCTCAGAAACCCTATACAGGGTTGCTATGAGTCCGAACTGACTTGATGGCACTTAACAACAACAACAACAGGTCACCCTCTGACTTCCTGGGTAGCACAGTTAAGCACACTAATGCAAGATGAAAGGTTGATGGTTCAAACCTACCCAAAGAGCCTCAGAAAACAAGCCTGGCGATCGGCTTTGGAAAGCAGGTTTGGAAACCCTATAGAGCACTTTTACTCTGCGTATATGGAGGTCACCATGACAACTCCATGGCAACAAACAACAACCGGTCACCATTCTTAATACAACTTGTCACGAGGGTGACTGACAGGGACTTCCTGTATATATGAATGTCAGACAGCTGAGAGTTTCCTATAATCTCATACTTGCAGGACAAGTAAAACTGAAACTTGCAGGACAAGTAAAATTACAAGTGTCACAAAACTGCTAGCTAGAAAGACTACTGAGAGCCTAGACTTTCCCTTCAATATTCCAAATAGTCAATAGACTCCTTTTGTGCACAATACAATTCACTGGATGGGATTTAGGCCACAAGAGAGATCAGCTCCTGCTGTTCCCCGGTCAGCTCCATCCATTGCTATCTCATCTCTCAGTCCCCAGTTCTCTGTCCCACCTCACAACCTTTGCATTCACTGTCACCTCTGCATCAAATACCCCGACCACTTTTCTAGGCAGTTATTGTTGTTCTTGTTGTTAAATGATGTCAAGTTGGTTCCAATCCATAGTGATCCTGTATAGGGTTTCCAAGGAGTAGTTGGTGAGCTTGAAACACTGACCTCCTGGTTCAAACTGACTTTGTAATCCAGTGCATTAACCCACAGTGTCACACCAGGACTATTAGTGTTATTGTTGTGTGCCTTCAAGTCGGTTTTGACCTACAGTGACCCTGTGTAGGATTTCCAAGGAGCGGCTGGTAAGCTTGAACTACCAATCTTGCAGCTCAAACTGACTTTGCAGCACAATGCATTAACCTACAGTTCCATCAAATTGACCCCCGACTCATAAGGACTCCATAGACAATAAAGTAAAGTGCTTCCTGATTCTGGGCATTCCCATGACCAGTTGTGGATCAGACCACTGGAAAAATCACATGGGCCACAGGGCAGCTAACTAGCCTACCTACAGGAGCTCAGGGAAGGTTTCCCAAGGAGATGGTCTATGCTGAGTTCTACAAGCATTAGCCAGATGAAAGAGAGAATTAGAGTATCTGCTCAGACCACAAATGCCCAGATTTTGAGGGCATGGACTGATCAGCAAGCAGGCCTTTCCACAAAGCAGGATCTGGGGAGCCACATTCATGCTACTCATTCAGATGAATACTCCAACAGCTTTCTAGGGTGTTACAACGCTTTTTCCAATTTCTACCTCCTCAGGCACCACAAATGAGATGTTCTGCTATTGAACTGAGGCCCAGGATCAGGGGAGATAAGTCTGTTCCAGACTTCCTGTGGTTGGATGTCACAGTAGGTCAAGTTCAGCAATCAGACAATGGAGCTCTAGAACTTGAGCTTACAGGAGTCTTGGGCCCATCTGTTTTCAGATCAAGTCCCCTGCTCTGCTCAGCACTGAGGTGCTGCCCTTCAAACTCTGGTACCCAGGCTCCAAGTGAGTCACAAGTGACTCACCCAGGAATGCTGAGGGCAGGAGGAAGGGGGAACCAGAGGGTATTTCTCTCTCTTCTCCTCCAGTGTCTCTTAGTGTGTGTTACCCCTGGGCTCTGGAACATACCTCTTCTCCTTGTCCCTTCATCCTAGTGATGGTGTTGCTGTTATGTGCCATCGAGTTGGCACTGATTTATAGTGACCCTATATACAACAGAACGAAACACTGCCCGGTCATGGGCCAACCTCACAGTTGTTGCCATGCTTGAGCCCACTGATGCTGCCAATGTGCCAATCCATCTTGCTGGGGGTCTTCTGTCTTCTTCCACCTTACCAAAAATGATAGCCTTCTCCAGTGACAGGTCCCTCCTGACAACGTGTCCCAAGTCTGAGTGGTGTTGGTGGCTGCCATGTTGCTCATCTCTGGCCTGCTTCAGTGCCTCCCTGTGGCCTTTTGCAGCTCTTCCATCATTGGATTCACCATTTTTATGCACTAAATTCTCTACTTTCTTAAATACTTTGAGTGGTTTGTGTTTTTTTGGATGTTCTCTAAGTGAAACAGTTCTCCATCCAGGTTACAAAAGGCTTTTAGGCAGGAAGAAATCCTAGCTGTGAGCTAATTTTTATCTTTTGATAATGTAAATGATATCACTAAGGACAAGAGAAAGGAAATGAACTGCTCAGCATCTGATTGCTATTAGTTTAGGAGTCCTGGTGTGGTTCTGTAGGCTAATGCATCAGACTGCAAAGTCCTTTGAACTGAAAGTTCAGTGGTTCAAGCTCACCAGCTGCTCCTTGGAAACCCTATACAAGGTCCAAGCTCATCAGCTGCTCCTTGGAAACCCTATACAGGGTCGCTATGGGTTGGAATCGACTCAATGGCACTTCACAACAACAAAGGAGTCAAGGTGAGAGTTCCTGCTTGCCTCATTGACATGCCTTCTACTGTCTCAGTTTTGATACCTCTTTTCACTTCATTTTCTAAAGAAGCATTTTAAAAAGGCAAGTCTAGACCTCGGGTCAATTACTAGTCCGCTTTGGTTAGAAGAACAGCTGGGTACTTTTCCATTCTTGGTCTTTAATTTTAAAGGTGTAATAATAATAATAAAATAGTTACCATCAAGTTTATTCTGACTCACGGCAACCCACATGTGTCAGAGAAGAATTGCTCTATAAGGTTTTCTGGGTTGTTTTTTTCAAGTTTTTATTGTGAATTGAGTGATAGTTTACATGGGAGAACATTATACTCATAGTTTCACTGCAATGATTACAGTCTTCTCCGTGCTTCATCATTCAACAGTATTTGCTTCTATCCCCTCTGTTTTTTTTTTTTGTTGTTGTTGTTTTGGCGTGTGGGGGGTGGGAGGGAGGATGTACACAAAAACACTCAGGAAAATATAATCATTTAAACAACCAACCAAAGAACACATTCTGCAAGCCTGCCTCCTGGCTGCCAGTACACAGCCTTTTTCTTTCCATGAATCTAGAGTACTCAGCTGCTCTATCTCTCCACATCCTCATCTGTCTCCATTTCTGGTATTGCTGTTTCTCTGGATAGGGTCCACATTCTGCTCATGTTCTTCTCCCTTGATGATCCTAGGGTCCTCTGTTCCTGGAATGTAAGATTAACTACTCCCCCTCTTTATGTTATAAGACTTCTACCTTTACTATTGTGACAGCCACAATTAGTTGTGATAACAGTTACTCTCTCTCTATTGAATCATAAGCATCGTATCCCCATCTCCTTTCATCAGACCTGTCTAGACAAGATGAAAACTATTCAGTGGGGATTCTACCTTCCCCTGCAAACTCTGAAATGAACCTCCCTCTTGAAAACTTGTAAGCCAGTCACTTTTGTGCCTTTATAGATCGCTCCCCCATTTTAGGTAGCCAATGTCTAAGTTACTTGTCTCTATCAACCCTGCATACAGAGGGGGTAGGATGAAGACTCCTTTCCTCTCAGTTGTTATTTGAGCTACTACATGCAGAAGTGTAGGTCAAGTTCATAGAATTGTAGCAATGTACACTTGTTTCCTTAATCAAATTTTTTCTTCTGCTTTTCTAGCCAAGTTCTGATTATCAAGCCATTGAGCCTAGGTCAGATGGGTACTATCTGCAAGTTTGGGTGTTCTTGTGAGTCTCCCCTCACTTCATATCTGCTGGATGCTTCACTCAGCTCTGTCTCTGTGGCTATGTTCTTGTCCATGGGGCTCAGGAGTCCCCAGGTCTCACCATACTTTGGACCCTTTCTCTTCTCTCCCTCATCTCCAGGTCGACAGGGATCTATGGAACATGGTTGAACTCAACCCATATCTTCATTGCTGCCTTTCCCTCTCTTCCACTCACAGTAGATCCATAAGGTTTTTAATGGCTGATTTTTTCCAAAAGTAGGTCACTGGGCTTCTTTCTGAGGTGGGTACTATTGGATAGACTTGAACTGACGACCTAGCTAATGCTAATAGAATTCTTTTTACATGTTCTTTCTATATACATGTCTTATTTTATTCTTCTAACACCCTTATGTGATTGCTACTACCCCAGTTTACAGATGGTAAGACTGAAGATATGATGAGAAGTCATTTGCCGGGAGCATACGGATTCACAGAGTCAGGATTTGGTCAGGCCACCTAATTCTAAAGTATTGGGTCTTAGATTCAC